AAAATTTCCTGGATTCCGGAATCCGGATTATCTTACATGGGGCGAAATAATATTGAATAGTCCGCCATAAAGAGAAGTGCACCACCCGGAAACTCGTCTCTAGTCTTTCTCGGTTATTCTTCTCTCAAACAGGTTTAGGCAAAACCCCGAATAGCGTTCGTACCAAAGTTTCCAAACTGGCTCAGGTGCGAGTAGGATGCGGTTGATCTCTATTTCGAAAGACTTGTTTGACGTTTGTAAGAGGACGATTCTAGCCAAGGTAAAGTTATTTGTTTACCATATGCATTCTTTTCACTTGATTCATGTTATTAGTCGAGAAGGACTTGTTTTAACCCTCGTAGCTTGGTGCTTCGTCAGCACTTCCTGTTTGTTTAAGTGATGCTTGTATTTTAGGAATTGGAGCTTATAGTTAATCTTGATATCACAATCGGTAGTTTTTTTATCTCAATTGATTTACTTATTTGTTATTATTTTATCGAATCTTGACTGGATTCGCTCGGCTACGAGGCATGAAACATGTGTTTTAAGAGACAAATGGTTGAAATTCGTGGACATGGGTTGATGTCAGATTTTAGAGTCTGTTTTGAAAGATCTTGACATTATTGACAGACACTTGCACAATATGATAATGAACAGTAGTCTGTTGAAGCGTTTTTGGTTTCAGATGAATTTCCGTCTTTTAACTTGACCTTTCATCGTAGTAATATAATGCGTTCGTTCCACAATCAAACAAATCATCACGAGCGATGTGAAATGAAACGGTTTACATTCCGATGCGTAAACACTGAAGCCGGCGCCTATTGCCATGAATAAGACAGAATATCATTCACAATCTTAACCAGTATATTTTCCTTCTGATCCTCATCGAAGGTGATCGAGGCAGGTTCGAAGTTTCGAAGAATTCATCACCTGCGATGCAAACATCAAATTGTTCACATTCCGCGACGAAAACATCTTAGGGAGCGTTGATTGCCATGAATTAATTGGGAAGCATATTACGGAGTATTTGTTTCGTTACTTGCTCACTGAAACACGTGTTTTGATGCCATGAGTAATAGACATTATCTTTCCTAGCTGATTCATCAAGAACTCAAATCAAATCCAAAAGTTATTTGTTTCACATTGTAATGTAATATAATGGAAACTTGTAGCACTGAATAACAAAGGCACATGAGTCGTGCATTTTTTTCGACCGTGCGCGTAAAAATCCTATATACGCGTCTGACTACCCTGCGTCTGCGATGGTTGATTATACATAGGACCAGGGAGAGTAAGATTTCAGCGGAAGGTGGAGGTTTCGTTCGATTCTCGTATTTCATGTACGTGAGATGTCGTTTCGCCTTATTTTAGACATTTATACCTTGTTTTAGATGGTTTTAGATAGTTTGCGAGTGGCTGTAGATGCTTTTTGAGGTGGTTGTTGAAATTGTTGAGGTGCTTGTAGATGGTGGTAGGTGGTTTTAGATGGTTTTAGGTGGTTTTAAGTCGTTACATGTTTTTAGTCCTTACGACTGTAGTGCTTCGCCAGCACCTTCTGCATGTTTGTTGAAGACATCTCTGTACTTGCCAACCAATTGCTTATTTGTTGTAGTGGCCTTATTCATTTGGGCCTTCAAATTGGAAATGTGTTTTCAAATTGTACAAAATCAATTTTTTACTTTACTCCGATCCTGGCTAGTTGTGAATTTAACTTGATACATTCCTTCATTTTGAGCCTAAGGAACAACTGATACATGTCCCTCTACTCCAGAAATACTGAAAACTGCCGCTTATGAGCCGCCCCCCTTAAAAGCACCAGTGACAAAGCTGTCAAGTCTTTCACATGGAGCATGAGATCTCACGCAAACAATTTTAATATTATGTTCTCAAGCTGAAAATAATTATTGTTTCTTATGGCAAACTGCTGCTTTTGTAAACCCTTTAACTCCCAAGATCTGATTGTCAATTCTCCCCTCCAGCTGTTACATATTTCTTTGCTAATAATTAATTGAACATTTTAGCTTGAATTAGTTGTGTACAAACAATATTTTACCAAGGAGATAACTTTCCTGGAATCAGAACCAAAACATTGATGTTTTCTCTATTTACACAATGAAAACGGCAAGTGATTGAATCTTTGCTGTCAGTTAGTGAAAATACCAACAGTCTTTGAAATGGAGTATGTGTAGACCAAGGAAGAAACCTTAATTTGTAACACTTTTCCTCTTATTGCACCATGCTGTATTGCTTGCCAAAAAAGTAATTGTTTTAATAGAGTTTATTTTCAAAGGGGATCGATATATACCATCAAATGAGCAATTGTATTAGGAACATGATCCTGATTGTCTATGTGCCGGGTCACACTGGAGTGAATTAAAATATTTGCGCAAGCCAAAAATTGCAAAAATTTTGAAATTTCCAATTTTTGGTGGTGGTTGCATAAAACTAGTATCCTCTGAACAAAACTTCATCAATTGACACATATGTCAATCACAAACCCATCTCCTTCTATTAAAAGATAAAGAAAAATTCTTGCTCAAATTACTGGGCAAAAATTGGATTGTCATTAAAAGATTATCTTCGCAGCTTTCTGGTTTTTTGTGGAATTTTGCATTTCTTTCTCAGCAAAACAACATAGTGTTTTTTATATTGTTGGTACATTATCAGCAGGCTTCTATGCAGCTAGTATCAGCTTTTAGACATAGAAGGCAAAGAGTTTGCCTAAATAGAGCTCACTTTCAAAACCATCCTTAGGCGAGGACTCTGCATTCAGCAGAGTTGTTGTTTGAGACTGCAAGGACCATGTATCATTCTGCACTTTCTCTTTTTTATGCCAATCTTTTTGGTTGCAGCTTGCACCACTTGTGCTGGCTTCATTTCTATAATTCCAACAGATGGAGAAGTACTTGTTTAAACTGATTGTTCTCCAAATTGCCACCAGTGGCTGAGCCTAGGGTACAAGTCAGACATTAGAATAAAAATGTTGATCAAATTCCTAGTTTCCCTCCAAAGAAAACTGAGGGTCAGATGGACAAGGAAAAAAAAATTGTCTTGCCATTGCATGCACCAAATTACACTGTCCAACAGACCACAGTATATTTTTCCTGCTTAAATTTTATTTAAATATGTATTGAATATGATGACAGCCAGATGGTAAAAAAGAAATCAAGATAGTTTGATTTGCCAAAATTTGGAAGCCTCAGAGGCAGGACATTGCTCCTTTGAGGATTGGCAAAATTATGGCGATCCGCAAAAATTTGGCAAAGTTTTGAAAACTGGGAGTTGCTCTTATTTTACACTATTTTTTGACAGGTTTTTTGCTTAAACAATACCAAAAAAAGCTCTGGTGCGACCCAGGCCTTTATTTAATTCAAAAGGAGTGTGATCCTAGGAGAGCACCGTATTCTTTTTTTGTAAATGATGAACATTACCATTTACTAACAACAGTGGGAGACATATTGTGGCTTAATGGTCAGTGTACTGGACTCTGGTTACAGAGGTCTGGGTTCAAGACCTGGCTGAGTCAAAGTGTTTTGTTCCTGGGCAAGAAACTTTGCTCTCCCCATGCCTCTCTCCACCCAGGAGTATAAATGGGTATTGGTGAATTGTTAGGGAAGCCTGATGAAATGCAAACGGGGAGTACAGACATCTTTTCTAACCAATGACAGTACCTCTGATCTCCCACAGCACTTCAAAAATGTTATGGAATTTTCTGGGATGTTAGAGGCAAACCTTGTGGGGAAAAACGGGGAAACTTGTTTACATCATGGCCATGATAATTTATTTTTCTTTACATAACAATAAATAGAAAACCAAAAATGCTCGGAATAAAGCATTGCAAACTGGTAAAAAAGTGATTAACATGTATATATGGCTCAGAACCAGAGAAAACATTTTTTTGCTATTTTGACAAACGAAAGCTGTTTGATTAGTGTGATCACTCAAAAGAAGTTTTTGGATCAGAAATAATCTTTCATGGATTAAAAAGATCTTAATTAAAATGAACAGTAACATGATTTTTTGTGGAAAACCTAAACACATTTAACGAGTCTTCAGAAGAATAGTGTTAATTTCCTTGAGATATGTACATTACTGTGTGGGTTTTAAAGAATTGTGTGTGTCCCCCCTGCCCCATCTGCCTTTTTAACCCTTAACACCCTAAGACATTGGTATTCATATTCTCCACAATGGTCTCTTTACATTCCTTATGATACTGACAAGGAGAATTTGTTTGACAATCAGGAACTTCTTAAATTGGTGATCATTTCCTTTATTCTTGTGACCTCTACATTTGATTCATGAGTGATACTGTGAGGAGAAATTAGAAGCCAAGGGGTCAAAGATTTAAAAGGAAGACAAAAATTGTTGTATAAATTTTTCGGGTGATAACAAATTTAATGTTAAGTACGTGGAAGGACATTTTGGCGGCAGGAAGTTCAAATAATGACTTTTTGTGTGTATATTTCTTTTCAGAAGACATGGCCTCTGCCACTCCACCAAACCCTTCTACTAAAGGAACCTCTATAACTATGCCCAGCTGTGTCGCCTTCTTGTTGAAATTGGATCACATGTGCTAAGGGAGATCTTTGACAAGGTATGTCCACCAGAAAGCCTTCACAGAGCTCTGACTAATCCCACAAACCATGCTAAATTGCAAACACTTCAAAAGAAGAGAGTCCTGAGTACCTCACAGTGGCGCAAACTGTATCCTGTTGTCAAATCATCAGTTTCCTCAGGGAACTTTGACAGCTCCTAACTGCTATTTCTTCTGAGGAATATCTTTGGTTTGACTCTCCCTGCCTCTGGCTGGAATAACCTTCCTCTGGTAACAGACACCACTCCAGCAGCTGACATCACTCGATCGCATCAAGTTTTTCAGGGACAGAGTTTTCAGTCATGCCGCTAATGCTTCAGTTGATGATCCAACCTTTAGTTTGTATTGGAACAACATCAAAGACACCTTTCTATGTATTGGAGGGACCCGCTATGAGGAAGTCATAGATGATCCTACACTCCATTGTATGGATGCCGATCTTGAAGAACACTACCGAGAGCTTCTGAGAGAGTGGTTGAAAGGTAATGACTGCATCACAGAAAAATTGCATGAAGACAAAATTGTGATAAATGCCAGGGAGGGAGGGAACATGGAGGATTCATTTGACATTTCTGAACAAAATTCATGTGTGAGAGGTGTGTGTAATGTTTTGTTAAACCTGAGTTTTTAATAAAAAAAAAAAACTTTGTAGAGTCAATAATGTAAGTTGATCATACTAGATCATTAGATGATATGAATTTCCTGCAGATTTATTTTAAAAGTCACAATTATGCTTAATTGAAGTTGTGAATCTTTATTCTCCTGACATGTTAAATGTAACCATAATTTGCTTTTTTTTCATCTTTCTTATCCGAAAAAAAACTACAACCTTCTTCCTCAGGGACAGCAATAATGCTAGGGGAAAATACATCAGCACAGACTGGCAATAGCAGCCCACCAGAGCTCAGTGTGAAACTCCCAGAGTTGAGTGATCTTCGCACGATCTTTAATCCTTGGAAAACTGTTGAACTTCCTGTTGATGTTCTTTTATTAACTGTGGAGAACTGTGAGTTCTTAAGCTGCTTTGCCTACCTGAAGGAACCCTTTAATAGTTACCACATCAGTACTGGCCCTGTGTACTTTGGGTGCATGGGTGATGATCAAGGAAAGAAGATGAAAATTGCATTGATGAGGTGCTCCAAAGGTCCTGATGTTCCTGGGGGTTCCTTGTCTGTTTCAAAAGATGCCATCTTGCTACTGAGACCTAAGGCTATATTTTCTGTTGGTGCCTGCAGTGGTTTGAACAGCAAAAAGGTCAAGTTAGGAGATGTAGTTGTTTCAGCAAAGCTGATAACAGCCACACACAAAACTCCCCCCAGCAGAGATATTGGAAACCTGATCAAACATGTGGCTGATGGGTGGAAGGCACCTTTACAAAATGCAGATGAATATAATGCCAAAGTGCATGGTGATGGAGTGGTTCTGAGTATCTCAGAGGCCAACAGAGATAAAATTTGCCAATTTCCTGAAGCAATTGCAGTTGAAATGGAAGGTGGAGGTAAGAATTGTAATAATTCAAATAATTGATGAGCCAAGAATGTTTTCACTCAAAGGAAGTGTTTTGAAAAACACTGCTCTGGTATTATCCCTGCTGGTCCAAGAAATAGCATATATACTATATAGCATGCCAAATTTGCAGGAATTATATAGTGTGTATTTAAAGTGGTTTTATGTTTGGCTGGGGTAGGAAGATTTTTGCATGTGAAGGTGACTGAGATGTACTGTGGATAACTACAATGAATGTGCTCCATCAGGATGTCATGAATTGTATTAAATTTGTCATCTGAAAAATGTAGAAAGTATCTTGTTAAATAGTTTGAGAGTTGAGGAATAGTATCACAGTCCCTGACTTAACCCTGAAACTTCCATGAGTGACCAAGACAGAGTTTCTCATCACAGTATTAATATGATAACAAGCAGACAATTAAAGGGAAAAGAAAAAGAAAATGTCAATTAGGGGATTATTGGTTGATCCAAAACCAAATTCTCCTAACTAACATCATAGGAATTGTATGACAGATATTAAAGAGAATTACTGAAGAGATCTTAGGTGTGTAAGGGTTAACTCTATCTGAAAGAAGTTTGTCTTTTGAGAAATGTTGAAAGTTACTTATGAAACAATCGAAGCCTGAGGAATAATTTTTACAGTCTCAGTGTACAATTTTTTTTAAATTACTAGTTGAAAAAGATTAGATTTCAGTACTAACTAACGTCTTTGTGGAATGTGCATGTTTACAAACAGGTAGAGTGTGAATCTTTGCGAGATTCGATTGAACAATTATTTTAAGGATGCTAAGAAAATAAGCTTAATACATAGCTAACAGACATGAGTATTTTTTTTTTCCAGGAGTGTATGCGGCAGCCCATGATTTTAAGACAGAATGGGTGGTAGTCAAGGGCATCAAAGACTTTGCAGATGAAACGCAGTCTTCAAGTAAGAAATGGAAACAAATTGCCTGTGTGATGGCAGCATCTGTTGTGGCACACATTTTAAACAATCCAGTCATATTCCAAGATTGGCCTCACTTTAATGCAGGTATTGCTTCCTGTCTCAATGTTCTCTTTTTACAAGGATAGGTCTGACTTAAATCTAAGTTCCCTTAGCATATTCTTGTATGGATTATAAATCAAGATGAGTTAATTATAATTTCTGTAATAGTTCACAGATTAGAAATTAAGTTACCCTTATTTTGAGTTTACATACCTGTAGGTTTAACAAGACTCTTATGGTGGTGGGAGAAAAAAACTTGTGTTTAAATCAAATGATGTAACGATGAGCCAAGCGAACTGACCTGTATTCTATAATTAGCTTGGTTTATGAAACACAACCAAAATATGGAAAATTCAGTAGCTAATGACATTTGCCAAAGTGATTTGAAGTACTGATTTGATATATGTTCCTGGGCCAATAAGCAACACATCAAATTGTTTTAAACTGAAAAAATAGATTCATCAAGTACTGCATGTGTGTCTGTATTTTGATGTGAAAACTATTGGAATGGAAAGGGAAGAGATAAATGCCAGCACACATCTTTATGGTTCTGTTTCTTTGTTGTTGTTGTTTTTTTTTACCCTTTTTGGAATCTGACATGATATAGTTTGAGATGAATGAATCAGATTGTAAATAAATTTCTCAGGTAAATTGCTTTTAAAGAGACAACATTAATTTTTTGTTTATCATTTCATTTAGGTGCCAATGAATTATCCTCTCAAGGTAAGTCCAACATGTTTTGATGAATGAAATACTTTGTGTTATTACGTCCATAACTTATCAACCTGACAGGTGGTAACTAGTTTGTAGTAAGGATTGAGTACTATTTATTTCCTTGATAAAGAAGGTAATAAGTGTTCTGAGATAATTTGTGAACATGCATTGTATAGAGAATGATAATAGTGCTACAGACAATGTTTGTTTCGATAGTGATATCTGTGATAATGATAGTAATAATAATAATAATGATAACAATAATAATAGTTAACGATTAACAGTGAACTTATATATGACTGTTTTAACTCTCATCATCAGTTACATTCATATTATTTGTTGAAGTGATTAAATTGACATATATTATTAGAGACAGAGTTTAAAAGAAGCATCATTTTGAACAGGTTTACCTGAGAAACCAACCATCACAAATACAGAAACAGAAGTTGACAAGGATTTCATTGTTACCTGGTCAGAAGCTGAGGCCAACAGCAGTAATTGCAGCGTTAAATACCGTCTGGAATGGAGGAAACAACCCGTGACAGGATCCACAGAAATGGCTCAACGAGGAAATATTGTGGAAACTCACCTCAAGATTACTGGTCTTGAGTATGACACAGAGTATGAAGTGAAACTGTTCGCTGTCAACGAACAAGGAGACAGTGAGCCAGATGTCAGAACATTTAAGACAAAGAGTGGTATGTACCTTTATTTGAGACTTCTCACTTTACTTTTGGTGTAATTGTTTGAAATGAAATAAGAGAAATACTGTCGGTCCCAAATACAGGAGTAATACTGCTTGTAAGGGGGGGGAGGATTGTGAAACTTTCTGACAACATGTATAGGTTTAATACTCATGTTGCAGCTCTCATATGAGAAAAAATAATCATTTGCCCAACATTTTTTTACAATCGTCATTTTTGATTCGGTCGTAAATTACATTGATAAGAGTTGTTCATCAATGTTTTATTAACCTTTCTTATTATATCAATATGTTTAGTTTTAGTAACAAAAAATATTTCACAGTTTTTAGAGGCAAAGTTTAAAAGAAGCATCATTTTGAACAGGTTTACCTGAGAAACCAACCATCACAAATACAGAAATAGAAATTGACAAGGATTTCATAGTTAACTGGTCAGAATCTGAGGCTAACAGCAGTAATTGCAGCATTAAATACCGTGTTGAATGGAGGAAACAACCCATGACAGCATCCACAGAAATCTTTCATCATGGAAATATTGTTGAAACTCGCCACACGATAACTGGTCTTGAGTATGACACAGAGTATGAAGTGAAACTGTTTGCTGTCAACGAACAAGGAGACAGTGAGCCAGATGTTAGAACATTTAAGACAAAGAGTGGTATGTACCTTTATTTAAGACTTCTCACTTTACTTTTGGTAGAACTGTTTAAAATCAAATTTTAAAAAAACTAATACTATTACTATAAATATAAAAGCAAACTGGCGCTTGTAAATGTTCCATTGACCCCTTTTCAGCAAGAAGTAGAACTTGTTAAAAAGAAGCAACGAAGGATGCTTCTGATAGCTTTACTGGCCCTCCTTAATACTCATGCTGCAGCTCTCGTATAAGATAAAAATAATATTTGCCAAACATTTTTTACTATCTTCACCATTGATTTAGTCGTACGTCATTGATAAGATAAAGGGTAGATCATCAATGTTTTATTAACCTATTTTTATCATACCAATATCTTTAATTTTATTTAGTTGGTACTGATTGCCAGTCAACCATTTGGTAATGCATACGTCTGAAAACAAATAATTCACTGATCATTGTATGGAATTAAAAATTTCGTGTCTGTGTATTTTGATCCACATCTTGCAACCAAGTTTGCTTTATTCTATGCTAAATTCTAATTTCTGTCCAAGTCACTATATACTTTTTGTCGTTGTTGATGTTGCGGTTCTTTCCCTGAATAATTGATTTTATCACAGAGAGGTTAGTTAATAACTTGCAGATCAAGAAACATTCTCCCTCCTAACGTTTTTGGATTCTTTGCCACTGTGTACCATTCTTCCTGTGCAACTTGAGGTCTGAATTAAATTTACCTTTTGGATGACTTTGCTGTTGCGGGCGCTCTACAGGCAAGTGTAGGGAGGGATTCAGAAATTTGTGATTGAGGAAGAGGGGTGTCAAAATTACTTCTCGATCTACCCTCTCCCATGCCCTGCCTCCCTCCCATCCAATCGAGATTACTCAGGGAATTAGGATGCACAACTGCTTTTTAGCTCGACTTTTGTCCCAAACTAGATAAGACCGGAAACGATTGTCACAACAATCGTCGTGTTTTGACACAAGATAAAGTAAATCTTTCTCTAAGAGCCATGGACTGTTCTGATTCCAACAAAAAGGAACTGAAATGACATCGTAAGGATAAGAAAAGTTTTTCTTTTCTAGTATCTTCAGCTACTTGTGGATTATCCCATAAAGTTAAGTAAACTTAGACTTTGAGCAAAAGAAAAGCAGTGTACAAAACAGAACTTTACGGATTTTAAAGTATTCAGATGTAGAGATCCTACTTTAAACTCCGCATTCCAAATCTCTGAACTCGCAATCATACCGGAACGCCGTTTTAGTTCAAACCTAGCCCTAGGTTTGCTCGGTGGAGAAAATTAATTGACTCATTCTTAAACCAAGGCGATCTTACGTAGTTGAGTCCTTCGCACCTCATATAGTTTTATTATTATCGCTTCAATTCGAGAAAAATTCAAGTTATGAAAATTGTGTTTTAGGAAGCAGACGGAAATTTCTATTTTGTAATTAGTCACTAGAGGTTTTCAGTGTTAACTTTGGAGTATTGGAGATTTTATCATCTTTCATGGCTGCGGGTGACTTAAATTATCCGTCAAGTGTTCTTAATGATCCGTCGCGCAACCTGTGTCAAGCCATTCTGATTGGAGATTTTACCATCTTTCATGGCTGTGGGTGACTTATATTATCCGTCGAGCGTTCTTAATGATCCGTCGCGCAACCCGTGTCAAGCTATTCTGATAGCACTCCCTCCACTTCCCTCTCAAGGAATTTAGCCGCCAGTGGAACTTTGTGCATGTAACAAGTTCGCCAGCTTATTCGCAAAGCAACGGAAAGGTAGAAGCAGCTGTTAGCTCCGCTAAAAATGTTATGAGTAAGTAAAGAAAAGTCAGAACAGATCCATACCTCGCTCTCCTCGAATACAGAAACACGCCTAGTCAGGGATTGGGCACCAGTCCAGTGCAGCGGTTGATGTCAAGGCGCACAAGAGCACAACTACCCATCATTCCTAAGCTTCTCAGTCTAGCTTTCCAGCCCAAGATCTATCAGAAGCTTCTCGCCAAGAAATAACGACAATTCCTTGCTTCCAATAGGGGGGCTAAGGATCTGGGAGCACTCAGAGGTGGAGATACAGTGCAACTCGTGCCGCCTGAAAATCCGAGTAAAGAAGCTGTGAAAGCAAATGTTGAAAGGTGTGTTGGAACTCGGTCCTTCGTAGTGGCTACAAAGGAGGCCTGCCGGAGTTCAAGACCTGCTTTGGTGGCTGAAGGAGGCGTTGAGCAGTCGGATTAACAGTCGACATCCTTACCTGAACAAGCACAGACTGGTCATGAGCTCTCCGCGCCGTGTAAGCGGACAACCGTACCCAGTGGTTGAGTGGATGCGACCAATGGGCATGCGATGGCATCTCAGCAACCGGAGCCACTTGTTCAGCCTAGTGGGTTACCTGTGCAAGGCCCAACAACGCGATCAGGCAGAGTTGTTAAGAAGCCAGCTTATTTAAGGGATTATGTTACTGGGATGTAACCAGCGCGAAGCTTTCTACGTTCCACAAACTTTGAACTTTGTTTACCTTGTTTGTCTTTGTTTTAATTTTTTTTTTATAAGGAAAAGGATGTAACAATAGGCATTGTTTAGTTATAGCCTCGTTTGAGTGTTAAACTAAAAAGGAAGGGTGTTTGTCAGAAAAAAGCAGTTGGTGTAGGACTTGATGGGAGTCATGAAACGATTCCTTCATGATTAAACACGCATTAACCTCCGCTTACGTCGATATTTGTTCTCCAAATACATCCGTCGAAAAGAAACAAAGTCAGCAGAAAAGACTCTGCTCCAAAGTTTTATCTTTTCATCTCTATTTTTTTGCGCGAAAGAAAAACGAACTCGTTTTGTAGACTCCAGTGATATTAAAAAGCCGGTCGCAGATACACATCCACCATCAGATCAACACTGGCTTTTTTTGCGGGCGGTTTCCTCTCTATCTAAAAATTAACGGTAGGGTTCGAAAATAAATAAAGCATTTTCTGGCTTGCTTGTATGTTGACTGATGATGCTCTTGGCTGAGATATTGTCCTTATAATTTTACATTTAGCCTAGAAGCTTCGCTTTTAGACCAATTATTAATTTTTCGGATAATCTCTCAGCCGTGGACATTGTTAGCTGACATATTACCCGCCCGAGAGGGTTTATTTAATAAACATGTATGCTTAACCTTTGAGGTAGGAATACTGCTTCTATGAACACGCTTAACCGGCCATGTAAAAAGTGTATCAAATGACACTGCCCTTAGTATTTTATGAATTATTTTACTTTAAATAATACTAAATAGGGCACTGGCGCGCTACGCGGCAGAGTTATCAAATCCACCTGCGTGCAGAAAGACGCAAGTTGCAGAGGGATCTTCTTGTTATCATGGCTGTTCTGTTTATAATAATTTTCATTCACGTGAATTATCTTAATTTTCTTTTTCCCCTTATTTTTTTATATGTTTTGAACATTTTCTTAGATACTTTTGATATATTTGTAATCACAAGATATTTAGACTGAGATGTAGATCAGTGAATAAATATTGTCAAGATTAGTTATTTAAATTCAGAGATCTTACTGATGGCAGGATAATCTACTTTTAGGTGTCTGACAAGACTAGCCTAAGTTTTACCATTAGTTATTTTTGGATAGTAATACGTGATCCTGTTGTTTCAAGAATTTGGCTGTGAGACAAGAGGATCTGATAGGGGTGGGACCAGGACCTCTTAGAGGGGGGGGCCTTCCTTCCACCGATTTTTAACCATTATAGGGTCCGTGAGTTGGGCCTGTGATATCCAATACTGGAATCGTTTCTCTGTCAGACATGAGACTAGATATTTATATTCAAGACTAAGCTTCTACTTGACGGTTTAGAACTATGGGTGGTACTAATGTGCTTTTACTTTGTTATACTTTTTTCACCATTAAGAGTAAGACCAGTAAAGCCTAAGATTTTTGTCTTAAGGGCTTGTTTGTTAATTGACCTACCCTCCAAACAGTTAAACCCTGTGGAGCAAGAGTGAAAGTACTTAAACTGCTATCCTCGTCTTCATATTATTTATTATGTTCCTTTTTTATATTTCAGCCGTAAGTGCCTACACTTCAGCTTTAAAGTCTTCAATTATGTACCATACGGAGTTCCAACCCAAACTGATTGCCTCTCGCACGATCTCTAACGTGAAAACAGACCAAATATTCACTAATCTTCTCATACAACATGGAAGAAAAGCCCCGATCAGGAGTAACAATGACGAGACATATTATTCAAGAAGTGAAGAGCTTGAGTACTACGGAAAAGTTAGCGGTACCCCAGTCAAGCACTGTAGTGAAATATTTCTTGGCGTGATTGATGATCAGGAGAGTACTAATTCTATTCTTGTCGTTGGAAAAGCAGGGATTGGGAAATCCCTGTTTTGCCATAAGGTGATTCGCGATTGGGCCAACAACGAATTATTTCAAGCACGAGAAAACACCGAAATCCCCAATTTAAAGTTTGTGTATTTGCTTACTTTCCGTCAATTGAATTTGCTTGAAAATACCTGTGTGACTTTAAGAGAAATCTTAAATTGTTGTTCGGCTCTGGATGACAAATGTAACATTGATGACTCTACATTTGAGTACATTTTAAAGCATCCCAAGGAAGTTATGGTCATCCTCGACGGCTATGATGAGTATTCACAGCAAGACTACATCGCTGGAAACTTAGAGGAACAGCATCCCAATAACGCTAGACGTAAAATGCCGGTGGCCGCATTATGTTCAAAACTCATTAAAGGGAAAATCTTGAGAGGGGCTATCGTCATGATTACCTCGCGACCAGATGAATCGGACAAGATGGGAGGAATCCGTTTTAAACGATATGTGGAAATTGCAGGATTTTCGTCGGAACAAGTCAAAGAATACGTTGAGAAATACTTCGAGAAAAACGAAAATATGAAGAACGCTGTTCTTAAACATGTCATGAACAATGAGAACCTTGTGAGTTTTGCTCATATTCCTATGCTCTGTTATCTGTTGTGCTTTGAGATGGAGTATACCCTAACCGAATCAGAAAATCCTGATGACCTTCCTGTCTCAACAACCGACGTTTACACCAAACTTATTGAAATATTTGAACTTAAGCACTACGCCGAGTCAGAATACAAACAGAAAGAAATTCCTGAGCAATTCAAGGCCCCTCCTGTCATTAAGAACACTTTAGATAAATTATCAAAGCTAGCGGCTAAACTGTTGGTTGAAAGAAAGCCAACTTTTGATGAAAGGGAGATGGAAGGCGATTTTGAAGCGGAAGAAGTCAGCAAACTTAAAGGTAGTGGTCTTCTTTACTGTGGTCAGCCTTTCAGGACTGCACTGATTACAACCACGAAGCACTTTAGCTTCACACATCTAACCGTCCAAGAATTCTTGGCTGCTCGTCGGTTTGTTAAGGAAAATCGCGTTCCAGACAAAGAATGCTCTGAAATGGTTGTCCAATTTTTTGCTGGCGTGTTATCAAGTGAGGGAAACGAAGAACTGATGGAAAAACTATTAAATTCGCCCATTATGCATCGTGATCTTAAAAGGACGTGTCTGACTGAGTATCAAAACAAAGAATTTGCCAAAAAATTCATCAGGAATAATCCGCAAGCGTTCTGTAATTCAGACGGCGTCATGGCTTCTAAGGAGTTATCAGATGTGGACTGCATTGGAGTATCATTTGTGTTGGACATTATCAGTGAACTAAATAAAGAGGAAGCTAGAGAGGCACAACGCAAATGTTCTGATAAGTTCGTCACAGTTCAGAAGTTAAAACTTAGTGGATCACAGCTAACACTGTCTGGAATACAACGAATCTGTAATTCACTGAACAATGAACACTGTCTTGTGTCTGAACTGCACTTATTGGACATTTACTTGGCTGATGAATGTGTTGATGTTATTAATAGATTAGTAGTAAGGAAGTTAACCAAATTAACTCTAGTGTTCACTAAGATCACTGATACCGGTGTGGCCAGTCTATGTGAAGCTTTACAGCATCCAAGCTGTAAGCTAACCACACTAGATCTGCTGGGTAGTTCTATCACTGCTACCGGTGTTGCCAGTCTATGGGAAGCTTTACAGCATCCAAGCTGTAAGCTAACCACACTAAGTCTGCGGCTTAATTCTATCACTGATACCGGTGTTGCCAGTCTATGTGAAGCATTACAGCATCCAAGCTGTAAGCTAACCACACTAAATCTGCAGTTTAGTTCTATCACTGATACCGGTGTTGCCAGTCTATGTGAAGCTTTACAGCATCCAAGCTGTAAGCTAACCACACTAAATCTGCTGGGTAGTTCTATCACCAATACCGGTGTTGCCAGTCTATGTGAAGCTTTACAGCATCCAAGCTGTAAGCTAACCACACTAAGTCTGGAAAGTAGTTATATCACTGATATCGGTGTTGCCAGTCTATGTGAAGCATTACAGCATCCAAGCTGTAAGCTAACCACACTAAATCTGCCGGGGGATTTTATCACTGATACCGTTGTTGCCAGTCTATGTGAAGCTTTACAGCATCCAAGCTGTAAGCTAACCACACTAAATTTGCAGAGAAGTAATATCACTGATACCGTTGTTGCCAGTCTATGTAGAGCTTTACAGCATCCAAGCTGTAAGCTAACCACACTAAATCTGGGGGAAAATTACATCACTGATACCGGTGTTGCCAGTCTATGTGAAGCTTTACAGCATCCAAGCTGTAAGCTAACCACACTAAATCTGCAGTTTAGTTCTATCACTGATACCGTTGTTGCCAGTCTATGTAGAGCTTTACAGCATCCAAGCTGTAAGCTAACCACACTAAATCTGGGGGAAAATCACATCACTGATACCGGTGTTGCCAGTCTATGTGAAGCTTTACAGCATCCAAGCTGTAAGCTAACCACACTAAATCTGGGGAAAAATTACATCACTGATACCGGTGTTGCCAGTCTATGTAGAGCTTTACAGCATCCAAGCTGTAAGCTAACCACACTAAATCTGGGGGGAAATCACATCACTGATACCGGTGTTGCCAGTCTATGTGAAGCTTTACAGCATCCAAGCTGTAAGCTAACCACACTAAAGTATTTTTAATCACCAGAGTGAAAAACAACGCTTAATGTAAATAGAACCGCAAATATTTTGTAATAAAGGGGTTTTTTTTACTGGCGACATTGTTTACTGTACTTGATTTGTGTGTGTAGACCACTCGAGTGGTGACAAGTAAGACTTGGGGTCGGGGGAGGGGTGGGAGGGTAATCTTCCGAGAGGCTACTGGGCATCTAAGGAAGCTTTCGGACAAGAACATTTAGTTAAAGTTTCTCGAGGTAAGAAAAAAGAGGAAAATGTCTTCCCGTTCACCCGATTCTGATTTAATTTTTGGTGAAATTACACCCTTCTAAGTATTGCCAAAAAAGAGATGGTTTTCTTGTTTGTTTTTTTTCAAAAAGCAACAATTTTTCGTTTTAACTGTCCGCCATTACACTGTACCGATCATTGCAAAAATTTGTCATCCTCGGTTAAGTTGTTCAGCTTTGTTAAGTTAAGTTCCAGAAGAATTACATGTAGAGACCTGGATCGAGAGATAGAGTAGGAGGTTAAATTTCCCACTTGAGAACCCAGCTTATGTAGCATGCACCACTGGTTTTAACCTTTTTGGAGTAAGTTGCCGTGGTGTATCTAAGCTCAGATTAGTTCCCAGATTGGACATTTAATCTCTGGTTTCAAAAAATAATATCTCGAGTCAGTTCTGTTAGTGCCGCTCGATAAAGACGCAAAATGGTGATGGGAACAGATTAAACGGAAAAATTTATGTTTTTTTTTTATTGAGGTGGTATGTTTGGCGTTTTACAAAAACGGTGAACTTAATACTGAGTAAGTTTGCAATAACAGTTCTTCTGAGAACCTCATGGCCACTATTGGAGACAGAAAAGTCAGTGCTATACTCGCTAAAATAAGAGACAGCCAAACGCTACTGATCTCGCCAATTACATCTCCCCAGAAAAACAGTCAGCCTCCAAACGTTCCATTGTGAAGGCACGCACTAAACGAGCCAGTGCAGAATTAAACGACGACTTGCTTTCGTCAAAACTAGCTTCCAAAAAGTACTAAGAGTTACCAAACGACCACGACATGCCTTTGTAAAAACCAACCCCTAAGCGTCTTAAGACGGAAGCGAGTTTTAACAACCTGCGGAACACAATTGCCTACATGGAGACACGGCGCGCAAAAACAAAGAAATTCTTTTTTGTTCTTGTATGGAGGGTTTAAAGGAAGGAAGAAGGAATTAAAGTCGTCTGTCAACACTGTACGAAGAGCATCATCAGTCAAACCTTCGATCCCAACAGCAGTTTTGAGAGACCTTATATGACTGATTCATAAAGAAAACTCTTTCAAATTCAACCACAAAAACTATTTTCAAACACTCGCAATAGCTTTGGGAAAAAAATGACGGTAGCTTTTGCAGTCATATTCATGGCTCCTATTGAGAAACAGCTACAAACTAGCTACAAGCCCACAGAAACCATTTCTTTGGAAAAGATACATTGATGACATTTTTTATGCGTAAACCATTCCCGAAACCGAAATCAACAACTTCATTGATTTTGCTTACTCATTCCGCGCCACCTTTAGATTCATGAATGAACAGTCATCAAAAAAAATTGTTTTTCTCGATACTGAAGTGTTGAAAAGACCGAGATTTACCGATAGCAAAATCGTTGATGTTTAAACATATTACAAGCCGACAGAAACGTTCCAAGATACACACAGTTATCTTCACGCCACCTTCTCAGTGTTAACCCTTTACACCCTAACATCAGTATGCATATTCTCCACACTGTTCTCTATACACCCTAACATCAGTATGCATATTCTCCATACTGTTCTCTTTACACCCTAACATCAGTATGCATACTCTCCACACTGATCTCTATACACCCTAACATCAGTATGCATACTCTCCACACTGTTCTCTATACACCCTAACATCAGTATGCATACTCTCCACACTGATCTCTATACACTCTAACATCAGTATGCATACTCTCCACACTGATCTCTATACACTCTAACATCAGTATGCATACTCTCCACACTGTTCTCTTTACACTCTAACATCAGTATGCATACTCTCCACACTGTTCTCTATACACTCTAACGTCAGTATGCATACTCTCCACACTGTTCTCTATACACCCTAACATCAGTATGCATACTCTCCACACTGTTCTCTTTACACCCTAACATCAGTATGCATACTCTCCACACTGTTCTCTATACACCCTAACATCAGTATGCATACTCTCCACACTGTTCTCTTTACACCCTAACATCAGTATGCATACTCTCCACACTGTTCTCTTTATACCCTAACATCAGTATGCATACTCTCCACACTGTTCTCTTTACACTCTAACATCAGTATGCATACTCTCCACACTGTTCTCTTTACACTCTAACATCAGTATGCATACTCTCCACACTGTTCTCTTTACACCCTAACATCAGTATGCATACTCTCCACACTGTTCTCTTTACACCCTAACATCAGTATGCATACTCTCCACACTGTTCTCTTTACACTCTAACATCAGTATGCATACTCTCCACACTGTTCTCTTTACACCCTAACATCAGTATGCATACTCTCCACACTGTTCTCTATACACCCTAACATCAGTATGCATACTCTCCACACTGTTCTCTATACACCCTAACATCAGTATCCATACTCTCCACACTGTTCTCTATACACTCTAACGTCAGTATGCATACTCTCCACACTGTTCTCTATACACCCTAACGTCAGTATGCATACTCTCCACACTGTTCTCTTTACACCCTAACATCAGTATGCATACTCTCCAAACTGTTCTCTTTACACCCTAACATCAGTATGCATACTCTCCACACTGTTCTCTTTACACCCTAACATCAGTATGCATACTCTCCACACTGTTCTCTTTACACCCTAACATCAGTATGCATACTCTCCACACTGTTCTCTTTACACTCTAACATCAGTATGCATACTCTCCACACTGTTCTCTTTACACTCTAACATCAGTATGCATACTCTCCACACTGTTCTCTTTACACCCTAACATCAGTATGCATACTCTCCACACTGTTCTCTTTACACCCTAACATCAGTGTGCATACTCTCCACACTGTTCTCTTTACACTCTAACATCAGTATGCATACTCTCCACACTGTTCTCTTTACACCCTAACATCAGTATGCATACTCTCCACACTGTTCTCTTTACACCCTAACATCAGTATGCATACTCTCCACACTGTTCTCTATACACTCTAACATCAGTATGCATACTCTCCACACTGTTCTCTTTACACTCTAACATCAGTATGCATACTCTCCACACTGTTCTCTTTACACTCTAACATCAGTATGCATACTCTCCACACTGTTCTCTTTACACCCTAACATCAGTATGCATACTCTCCACACTGTTCTCTTTACACTCTAACATCAGTATGCATACTCTCCACACTGTTCTCTTTACACTCTAACATCAGTATGCATACTCTCCACACTGTTCTCTATACACCCTAACATCAGTATGCATACTCTCCACACTGTTCTCTTTACACTCTAACATCAGTATGCATACTCTCCACACTGTTCTCTTTACACTCTAACATCAGTATGCATACTCTCCACACTGTTCTCTTTACACCCTAACATCAGTATGCATACTCTCCACACTGTTCTCTTTACACTCTAACATCAGTATGCATACTCTCCACACTGTTCTCTATACACCCTAACATCAGTATGCAAACTCTCCACACTGTTCTCTTTACACCCTAACATCAGTATGCAAACTCTCCACACTGTTCTCTATACACCCTAACATCAGTATGCATACTCTCCACACTGTTCTCTATACACCCTAACATCAGTATGCAAACTCTCCACACTGTTCTCTATACACCCTAACATTAGTATGCATACTCTCCACACTGTTCTCTATACACCCTAACATCAGTATACATACTCTCCACACTGTTCTCTTTACACCCTAACATCAGTATGCATACTCTCCACACTGTTCTCTATACACTCTAACATCAGTATGTATACTCTCCACACTGTTCTCTTTACACCCTAACATCAGTATGCATACTCTCCACACTGTTCTCTTTACACCCTAACATCAGTATGCATATTCTCCATACTGTTCTCTATACATTTCCTAAGGTGCTGACAAAGGAGAATTAGCTTAATGATCCAGAGCTTCTGTGGTTGTTGATCATTTCCATAATTCTCATAACCTTAGTGCGTGATTAAGGGGTAATATTGTAATGAGAAATTAGATGCTGGTCACTCTTAGGTGCTAAACGGTTATGAAGGGTTTTGTAAAATGAGAGGCACTACGCTTACTGAGAACAAACTCGGTTAAAGAATCTTTTGAGCTAAGGAAGAAATAATTTTTATCTCGCCTTATAAAACGAAGCTACCCTCAGGACCTCGTTCAAAAGGTCTTTGCCGATGCCCAGTTCTCATCACGCAACACGGCTATGAGAAACAAACCGAAATCATCTAAAAAGATTTTCCCGTTCGTTAGGACTTTCAACCCTGCTAACCAGAATGTCAAAAAGATTCTTATGAAACACTGGCACCTTATTTCAGGCTACAATAATCTGGTGCAAATGTATCCTAATCCGCCAATTGTTACTTGTCGGAAGGTCAGGTCTTTAAAATATACTCTTGTCAGAGCACAACTTCCTTCACTTTAATTACATAACAGCATTTTAGAAGTTACACACGATTAGTGTCTAGTGAAAATACTACAAGACAACGCAATATTTTCAGCTCTCCTTCTAATAGTTCCTCCGGATAAGTCCTTCTCCGGAATCTGCGCTTCTATGCAACACGGAAGGCGACTCAGTATTTTCTTCTTTGTCGGAAGCTCATGACAGGACGGAAAATTATCTTTTTTCTCTTCACAGATTTTCATGCAGTAGTATAGACGTTAATGTGCACCAAATTTATTAAAAAACTGAATACGAAATGATCAGATAATGTATACGAGTAACACCGCTCTTCTGACATGAGAGTTCGATCC